AAATGTATCGGTGATTCATTTTTATCATGTTCTAAATAAATACATGTCGATAGATTTGATAAATCTTGTCGAAGTTTATCTAATTGTTCTACACATTTCGAAAGATTAATATTTTCATGTAAATTTGTATCAACTTCTTTATTGATTTGATTTAATAAGTTAGCAAAATCTTGACGTTTTTTATTAAAAATTCCTTGAAGATCATTTCGAGCTTGTTGAGCTGTTAGTTGAATTTTTGCAATCGAATGATTTTCCCATTGATTAATATAAATAAAAAGAACATGATCATCATATTGAGATAAATGATTATCATTTTCTATTTTCATTTGTACATTATTGTTTGTTGCCATAGGAATAAATATTTTCAAAACGATTTTTGTCGTGTTCGAACGCCGATGTTGATAATAATGTTGGCTTGTTCGCGAAAGATATAACCTATTTTTACTCCCATGCTGTTCTTTTTTTTTATTATTCTGATTGTAAATATTATAGAACAGAATAAGAAAAAAAACACACGCACATGTATGACGTTGATGTGCAAATAAACATGATTTTTATTTACTTTTATATTGAAAAGAAAGAATAAAAAAGATTTCACCGAAAATTGAAAAAATAAATATTTTCATATGAAAGAAAATGCTTTTGTTTAACTATTGTTATTATAAATAAATGATTCTATTGAATTATTAGTCTTAATTTTATCGTTATGTTTATTGGTATATATTTATCTATCTTGACTATTGTGCTGTATTATTTTTGATTATAAGAAACCAAAAATAATCGATTCGATGAATAAGTACCAATAATTTATCTGTCAGTGACGTATGACATATTCTAACTGTATTAGAATCAGTCTATTGTCTGAAGATTCAGTCCTCAATTTATATTCATCATGAAAATGAATGTTGATATTGACCAGAAAAAAAGTCCTGAGATCTATTGTAAAATTCAAACTCTCAATTCGATATGATCAATCAAATGCCACAGAAATATGATCCTCTTCATTATATGATTTTTATCAGTCATATTTTTTACTAGAAAAGAAGATAAAATTTGAAAAATATTTGAACATAAGTTTGTACGGTAATAAAGAAGAGTAGACATAATATTACTTTTGTATAGTTGTAAGATAAAATGACACGATGATGACCTGTTTTATAAGATTATTAAGTTTCAATGTATTTTTTCTCCTTTTTTATTTTGAACTTTCTCGTGTTATATTTATTTGTTTATATTTATATAAGAATGCTCAATTAACCCTTTATCCCCCACAGCAATTCCAGAAGAGCCACCGATAAAATAACTATACAAATAGAGTACTAGCGGGCCTAGTAGAACAATTATGTGGTCTGATTTACCAAATGTCTATCTCTTTGTGTAGGACCATTTAATTGGTCGGTTAACTATGTGATGGAGTGAGGAGATGGAACGACATATTAAGCGTTGACTTAGTTTTCTTTGATCACATTATTGAATGAGCAAAAGTAACATCTATCCTATCTTATTGCAATAATGGAAAACGGAGGGAATAAACCGATAAAAATTAATGTCAAAAGAATGCATGTATTTGTAGCACATTTTTTAAAATAGGCATCTACTTTGTTTTAAGCCATTTTATAACTTCTGAAGGCATTTAATTCAAAATAAATGCTATTCTAACTTCTCATCAGCTGAGGTTTATCATATGTGTATTATCATTTCTCTTAGAGAACGATTTGTTCCGAAGAATTCGATTTCTTTCATTTTTTTTCAAAATTATCGATTTTGTTGGCCCAATATTTCAAAGACGGAGCGATGAAAAAAATAATTTTTTTACCTATCGATAGCTCATAAAGTTCACTACAAAAAATGTTCTTATCGTTTTCAAATCCCATGCTTCCTTTATTTTCTGCAATCATTCTACAAAATGGCAATTCCAATTACCGATGGGAGGGAGGGGGGGAGGGGAGGATAAAGGGTTAAGTTTTATCAATTTTAATATTGTATCCTATATAGAATACCAAAGTGATTTTTCTTGGTGCAAAGAATGTTTTGTAATAACTTCAAAAGCGACATTTTAACATTATCTAGTTCAACCATTGTTATTCTTGATATAACTTAGGACCGATTTGCTATTCATTTTTCATTGATACTTACAATTCTTGGTCTTCTTAGTTTCGTTGGTGATGATTTTGCGTTTCTTGAATTTTTTTTTATCATGTATGCATCACTTTATTGATGCTATCAATGGTTGATCTATTTGCTCGCACACGCAATTATCGTAATCAATATGCGAGATACATTCTATTATGCTCAGTCGAAAAATTTATATTTTCTACATTATGCTTAATGAAACTTTGCAATCGAGAGTGGTGCTTATATGTATGTTATTTACATATTGAAATATAATTGAGAGTTGTCGATCAGTAATAAGAATATTTTCTTTTTGACTTCGATTTGAAGAAAATATCTTTCATATTAGGTTATGGTAAATGTGATAGATACAAATGAACGATACAATCAATTTATTCGAATGAATCTTGAAAAAGCTTCAGTAATAGATTTCTTAGCTCTACAATGGATTATTATGTACCTATGTTATATGATGAGTAAATTCAATCTGAAAAGCGATGAGCAAGTAATTATCGAATGATTTGTTTAAACTCTTAGCAGCCATTGAAATAGTTTTTTCTTTATACCTTGACAGTTCGTCTTTTTCGACGGACATTCATTATAGCTATTCTCATATTGCTACATAAATGTCTACAGACGCAACAAGGATGATCGTAGACGAATATTTTTCCAATATCGATCAAAGACTAAAGTGAGGAGCAATGTCCGATTCGAGTCGAGCTTTACACAAGGCGAACAACAATACTGGACGAGAAAATGATTTTTTTCTTTCCAATATCGAGAGAGATCGTACGATTTAACAACAAATTGAAGTTAAGTATAAGAAAAAACTCCTTTATTATCTTTTTCATGTTGATCATAAATGAATAGAAATTATGTTCGACATGAAATTTCATTCTTCGAAAAAAAACAATAATGTATATTCTACAATGTTTGAGAGACACTGTTGACGTTCTCAAATGTTTTTATTTCATCGTTAATATCGAAGAAATTTTTGTACTCTGTGATTATATGTATCTGCTACATATAAATTGAGTTTATTATCAAGTGCTACCAAATACGGATTGTTGAGTAAAATTGAATCATTATCATTTGAACCTGTCACACCAGCAATTGAAAAAGGCGTAGGTGAAAATAGTGAAAAACTTTGAATTTAAAAAACTGTATTTTTTCTTAACATTTCAGACTTTTGCCTACGACATCCTCTCAAAATTGTTCAAATAAGCTTGAAAAGTAATTTTCTATAAATTTCACAGTGTGACCTTTCATATGGACAGATCAAAAAATTTTTTTTGGCGCAAAAAGTTCTTTTGTCTGGAAACATGGTTTTTCAAAAAGTACATTTTAAAGAGCGATATTAGCCCAAACCATTGTGAAATTCGGATTCAGTATCCCAGACTATCTATTGTTCACTGAGTTTCAGCTCAAAAGCGGTTAGAGAGTTGGTGGTCTTCCCTCGTAAGACTAGTCGAAGGTTTGATTCGACTATTATAATGTGAAAAACCCTGAATAATGACTCATGCTGGTATATCGGTCCGTTCTGACCGTTTATGTAGTACTGATACCGGTAAGAAAATACTCCTACCAGTTACAGTCTTGTTTCGTTATGTGTGGTTGAGGGTCCATGTTTTCACACTTGTTTTTAATTCGAAGAAGATTTCATTATTTTTAGGGTCTCTTAAACAGTTCAATACAATTCAAATACTGTACTCGAGTTCTAGAAGAAAGTCCTAGGCAGAAACCTGAAAAATCTTTAACAAAGTCCTGATCCAAATTTGGCAAAATCGTGATTGATCCTTTCAGGATTTCTTGGGGAAAGATCAAAATAGAGGCTAGGGAACTCACTGACTGTATTGTGTTTCTCTAACTAGACTTAATATATGCTTACTAGTCTCAAAGATAAAACCAAACCTCATTCAAAAAAGATCGCTAGAACGACAACAGATGGTACAAATCTCCATTTAATTAATCCATGCTGCTGTTTAGATAGTCTTCTAGTCAGGTACTGACTATCTCGAATAAACACTATGAAGTTCATAGCAGTATAATTCGTTGTACAAGTTTTATTGTAAGCGAATGAAGTGACAAATCAACCAGTAAATATTGTTTTTGGCTTATTAAAAATAATTTTTTTTTTCGGTAGAGTTCAAACGATCATCTTACGATGGAATTGTAACAGGTAACAGTAAAAGGCATATCCAGCAGAGGATTCTCTGTCGGTTCCCTAGTGAAGGTATTCATATGATAGTACTCAAAAAGTACTCACGCTAGAAAATGTCATGTGTACTCATGTGTACTCATGGATTTTTGAGTAATAATTTGTCGTACTTGTGCTGGAATCCGAGTATCTGAGTACGACAATTGAGTACTTCCCGTGTAATATTGTGTGTTTTGCGAGTACTCTCATCTAGTAACTGTGTATTCTGCTGGTCTATGCAAAATATTCATGAGCCTATTCTTCGTAAGAACCATTGTACTAGGTCAATTTTTATTTAATATTAAGATATCAACAAAAAAGACAGGAACATACAATGAAAATTTGAGAAAAATGATCAAAATGAGCATCACAAAGTTGACATCAGCTTTATATATTATAAGGTAAAGAATATGGACATAGAAATCCTCATCATTAGCGAACAAAGTTAAATATTTTTTATATTTTTATATAGAGAAAATACGATTTTATTTATTCTTTTCTTTTTTTTTATTTCAAAAAGAAATTAAATTGTATTTTCATTATACAAAAATATAGAAAATATTTAACTATCTTCTCTAACAATGAAGATTTCTTTTTCTATATCGTGGAAAAGGAGAGCACAATAAAACACAAATTAAGGACAGTAAGATACAATGAAGCGGAAAAAAATAATAAATTAATCAATGAGAATAAGAAATTCGATAGAAAAGAAAAGTACACTATTCCTTATTACACAAAATAATTGAAAAGACATTTTTCAATTCCTAACTGTTTAGATTCATCAGAAAATTTACAAAAAAATAAACACAGAACAAAATTATTTGTTTATAGGTTATTCACACATCTTCTTATTTTAAAATCCAACTGATTTGTAACAACAGTCATTTGTTGTCTTGCGTTTCACAGAGTTTTATGGTCAATCTGAAAAATTATATTTTAATGAAAGATTTTTTACCTAAATCTAGGAAAACAAATTGAAGTGAATCTACATGAATATGTTTAAAAAAAATCTAATCTCACCGGAGAAGTTAACAAATGAAAGTGAAAAATCATTATTTTTTTTATCTTCAAGTCATCGTTCATTTTAGTCGTATAAATAAGTTACCAGAAAAGGATAAAGATAAAATAAATAATTCATTAAAACAAATTTTCTCTATTTTTCATTTTATTATATCATATTCTTTTATTATATAATTTTAATTGATTGTTATGTATACTAGTGCATTAGTGTTTTGGTAAATATTCTGCTAAAAACGAGAATGAATACCAAATTGAGTACTCATATATCTGCCTATGAATAAATCTCTAAAGAAAAACTCGTACGAGTACTCATCAGAGTACACAAAGAGTATAAGTACACATAAAATTCTTCGAGTACTCGCGTGAGTAATATGAATACTCACGCTGGAAAGTCATACTCGCTTGATGAGTATGTTCATCAGATTGTTGTGCATTATTTTTAGTTTTTCCATGATTATTTTTTACAAAAATTGAGCATAAAAGTGCTTTTTTCGCAAATCAAACACTTTTTACTGATTTCGAACACTGTTTCTGTGAGGAAGTCTGCACTCTAACTATTCTATTTAGCCGAAATTCATTATAATATAACTAGTCATCAGATTTTATCAACTCACTTTCATATCCACTGATATTATGGAAACAAAAAATGAATAATTGTTTAGCATTGTAGCTTATCATAGATTTACTTATATTTTCCCTACTGTTTATAGGATATATTTCGCACAGTCATAAGAAATAACATGGCGAATGTGACATGGGAAGTAAATTGAATGCACAATTAATGAATAAAGTCTATGTCAGATAAACATTTAATGAATATGGAAAGTTGATATAGCATTGTAATCCTATAAATTTTTCTGTTCATTAATAGAGGTCTGAACACAAAAAGAGCTTATGAAGATAAATAGTAAAAAAGTCGATGGAAAAACAGTGAACTTCAAGACTTCAACATAACATCTGATGCAAAAGTGATGGAACAATTGTCGACTTCTATGTCTCTTTAATAGAAGTGTGCTGAAAGAAAACTTTTTCACTAAAAGATAGAGAATTTTTTCCTCTTTTGAATTATACATAACTTATTTTTCTTCCCCCGTTCTTGAACAAAACTACATTAAGGAAAGACAAACATCCTCAAAATAAATCCGTACTTTTCCTGAGATTCAACAAAAAGGGACGAAATGTTGATTCCTATATCTGTTTGATAAACACGTACTAAAAGGAATGTTTTTCCATCAGTGGATGGGAAATTTCCTCCTCTTTTGAACATTATATTTTTTATATTTATCATACATTTGTAAATAAAATGAGGTTGGAAAAAAACACGTGCGCAATAAATCTGTGACTTTTACATGAACTTGTCAAAAAACACGGTGAAACACGATAGTTAATCAGAATCAACTGCCATTTTACACTATATTTTTGACGATTTCATATAAAATCACAAGTTTATTGTGCGCTTGTTTCTCTTTTTCGCGTCTTATTTAATCTACGAATGTATGACAAATATAAAGCATATACACTGTCGAAAGAGAAGAAAGTTTCTTGTCGACTGATGGAAAAACATTCCTGTCAGAACGTGTTTATTAAAGAGGCTTAAGAATTCATACGTTATGCTGTAATTTACTGGAAAAGTATGGACCTCTTTTTAAGGATGCTTCTCTTGGTTTTTGCATTGTTTCGTTTATGGACATACGATAAAAATGAGTTACATATGATTCGAAAGACGAAAAAATTCTATCTTCTGATAAAAAAAGTTTCTTCCAGTCCTGGCATCTTATTGATGAATTTTTTTGAGTCAATATCACGCGAAACCTTCTATATGATGCAAGAGAAAATAAAATACTTTTTGTGATAAATATTTTATAATATAAAGCAAGTTTTGTAGAGTGAAAATTGGCATGTGTCACTTTTCCATGAAATGCATAGATATTATTTATATCATAATTGGTAATTTATCACGAGAAGTATTCATAAGTGAAAAATTCTCAGAAAAAAGACTGCTCAATTCATGAATAACTATGTTGACTCAATGAACTTTTTTGTTTCTATTCAAATTCAATGCAAAAGAAGACGTTGACGAAAACAGTTTAATCACGTTCCATGGCAGCTGAAGTTCATCGAACTGCTAACAAGTCGAGAATAACATCTCATAATATTTCATAAATGACTCGTAAATGATACACGGTGTTCTATCAAGATATTTCTACTATGCTGAAACCTATTCATATTTCGATTTCTTAATTTACGAAATTCTCAGAAGTTGAAGCATTCAATATTCTTTAAATATATATTAGGCTTAACTCGTTGATCAAACTATAGATTTGAGCATTATCTCAGAACAAAATCGTATAGCACTTGATTTTTTAACTTTTCTACTAATTTAAGTTCTCAAAACTGAATAAGAAAAATATTAGTGCTAATGCATACAAAAATTATGGAACATGAAGCTGTTTACCTTGCTTTGTAAATTTTGTTGCAGCGCGCAGTGATCGCCATAAAGAACTTAATGATGAATCAGTGGCTTCCTTGCATCTGGTCAACACAAGCTCAGTGGACCTTCCATCATCAAATTTGAATTTCAGTGCAATACTTGAAGTATATGTAGTAATATGATCTTTGATAACATGGGTAAGATTGTCTTTGCAAGGCTTATATACGATACAGCTTACCGGATAGACTATATCAATGTTCATTCCGACAATTGAGCGATGAGACCCCAACTGATTACACGTAGGTCTGAAACGGAGTTAGACAGGTATTGAGAAAAGGTACACTATAAAAAGTCACGCAAAATGAGCACTCACATGTCACGTTTTTTCCTGTGAGGTTGACGATGATTATCGGCATTTGTTTCACCATTATTGATCGCAATAGTACTGATATAGATCGAGCCTGGGTCGATACCATAGACTACTTCTAACTAGAATTTCATTCAATTTAATTAGTTTAAACATACGTGATAACTAATTGAAATACGATTACTTTTTGAGCAATCTCATCAGCATTGATGACTTTCGTACTCTGACCTTTGTTTGGCATCCAGTTTGTGACGAAAATTTGTGTTATTCTGCCAGATTCTACAATATCAAATGAATGATCAAAATTGGCAATGGTTACTCTTGGTATTTGTGTAAAAAACTGAGCCACTTTCTGGAAGATTTGCTCGAGCACAATCAACATACAAAAAAATCGATTTATAAAAACGTCAAATAGTATTCAATAGAAGAAAAATGCTTTCAATCTTCTTCCTATCGTTACCATTCTAGATAGTATGTGTTAAGGGTCATTTTTACAACGCAATGCTTTCTTACTAGTGTTTAACTAACTTTAAAGTTCTCACTCTATTCGCTCATGGACATCAGTCATACTTACAAGAAGAGACAATTCCGATGTTGTTTTCTTGCTCAGTTTCTTATGGTACTACTAATCATTGTTTGATTTTCTCCACGTTTTCATGAAAAAAACCTCCAAAAATGTCTTAATCTTTTCGAATTTAAGTTCAAATCAGTGATATTTTGGTCTGAAACTAGTTAGAGCTTCAATTTCTATGAACTTTGTAACTTTCCAGCGATTTAGATTTATTCATGTGTCTCATCGCGCATTTCTCATTGAAATAAGCAATGCAAAATGATGTTCAATATCTAAAAAAGTGAAACTCGCTCATGAACAACTACAACTCTAATCTAAACGAAACAACATTAGGATTGCCGAAAAACGTGGTACGCTTATCCGCTAAGTCTTCATTCATTCAATCCTAGATGAACGAGATATGTAGAATAAAGAGGTAATTACTGACTTTAGGAGTTATAACGCATGACATTATTAATCCTTAAGAGCTGCTTAAATGATCATCGCAAGACATAAGAGATTTCAGATGTTGCTAATCGCCCTTGTTGATACAGGAAATGCAGAAATATACTGATGATATTGATTATCCATATCACTTCTTTTTTAGCAACTGCGTCGCAGCCAGCAATAATTGCGAAATTTTCATCGTAACTGCGGCGCATCGATCGTAATCAAATCTCTATCACAAAGTACGGCTACTGTGATGAAGATCAATGCAACTGCGCCGCATTACTCGCATCGTACGATTCACTATATATGATGCCAATCAATCATAAGTATTCTTTCTTACTTGTAATTGGTCCCATTATAGCACCAAAATTTAGCCACAGAGAAACCGTATAAAAGGAAGCCTTCGTGTGAGCGCGATTCATTTTTCATTCTGCTTCAATCGATAGAGTATGTAGTCTGAATGCACATTTTTTGCAATGAAAACGAAGACTAGAATTTTTGAGGATCGCGAATTTGAATCCCAGGTTAGAGCGTGATTATTAGTAATAGTTTTTAATTTTTCTAATTTTTTTATTTGTTTTAGATTTAAAAAAAGTTTTTTTCATTTATTTTTTGTTTTATTGAATTTAAAAAATTTTTTTTGTTGTTTGTTTTTAATGATTACTTTTGGTTGAATTTTTTGGAAGATCTCAAAAATCATTAGCAGTTCATGATTAAAATATTAATAAAGTGAAAATCTCTCCTATATTGTTTCTTTTAGCAACTGTGACGCATTTTTTCGCAATCACGGATCACAGTGCGATCGCAGTTACGCGTAATTGCGTCGTAGTTTGACCGTAATCGAACACTTGGGTAATTACGATTGAGTTGGTTTCAAAATTTTAAAGAGAACTGGAAAACTCGAACGATGGATAATGTTTAATTTTCTAAATTAAAAATTTTTCTCTGTCCGAAGTGCCATTAAAAGATGATGATTATCGTAATTTGGGTGAAAAATAACCTTTTTCTTAATAACTAACTATTTCTGAACGCCTAATGAAAAACTGAGTTTGAAACAATCAAAATTTCCTTAAAACAAGCTCAATGTATTTAGCTGTCTTGAATGCAATCTTCTTTCAAAAGATTCATGGTGTCTTTTCCGATCAAAATCCCTTTACTATACGTTTCTGTTGTCGGAAA